ATTTTGAAAGACATTCTTTGGGGCGCCTGGGTGGCTCAGTCAGTTAAGTATCCAACTTCCTCAGGTCGTCATCTCACGCACGGTCTGTGAGTTTGAGCCCTGCATCAGACTCTGTGCTGACAGCTGAGGGCCTGGAGCCTGCTTTGGATTCTGTGTCTCCCTCTATCTGCCCCTCCCCCGCTTGCACTCCATCTCCATCTCTCCCTCTCTCTCACATATAAACAAAAAAACCTTTAAAAAAAGAAAAACATTGTCTGTTTTCCCCATCTGAAAAAAACAAAAAACAAAACAAAACCAGCTGTTTACATCATGATTTTACCATACCTTGACTGTTGAGATTTAGATTTTCCCAGAGTATAAGTAAGGCAATACGAGTTCCCCCTTGTGTTCTTTTCCATTGCTTTTTCTAATTTGGAAAAAAAAAATGTTTTTTTTTTTTTTAAATAAAAAATCCCAGCTGCAGGGTAGGTAGGAGAGGCAGGAGAGAGCCGAGAGGTCAGGGTTTCACAGCAGAGCAGTGCAGCGGGGCCGTGCGGGGGTACCGGCACCCACAAACCCCAGGAAGTCAGATGTTCTGGGTGTACAAGTAGATATGAAGACCAGACCACACTCACAGCCAGCATGGTAGCGCTTAGGCTCAAAGCAAGGCCCTCAGCCTCACAGAACTGGGCTCCCAGGCATGGACCCAGCAAGACACAGCCACACAGGAGCCCAAAGCTGGCAGCAGCACCGCAATCTGCCTCCCTGCTGCCTTGGGAGAGTGGCTCTCCTGGGTCCCGATCTGTGCACCTCCGTATCTGGGTGCTATTCACTGCCGGTGATAGAACACTCTAGGAGAGAGCTGGCTTTGTCTATTCAAAGAGTCAGTGTTGGGGCACCTGGGTGGCTCAATCAGTTAGACGTCTGACTTGATGTCAGCTCAGGTCTTGATCTCAGGGTTGTGAGTTCAAGCTCCACACTGGGTGTGAAGCCTACTTTAAAAAAAAAAAAAAAAAGCCAGTGTTACAAAAAAAAAAAGTTCTAGGTTTAAAGAGATTAAAGGAACCAATAACAGTGCTTAGACCCTGACTAGACCTTTGTTTAAAATACATTGGTGGAAGAACCAGAAATATTGGAACATGGATTGAATGTGAACTTAACATTCATTTATTTAAGTGTAGTAATGGTGGAGTTGCGATTACATAGAAAAGTGTGCTTATTTCTAGCAGGTGCATGCCAAAGAATTTAGGGGTGAAGCATCAAAGTGTCAAAGTCTACAGCTTATTTTTAGATGGTTCAACAAATTGATATATATACATATACACACACATAAGTAAGGAGTAAATATGGCAAAATGTTGTCAGATCTAGGGAGAGGGCATAGAGCTGTTGAACTTATCTTTTTTTTCCCAACTCTCCATTTTGAAAATTTTCACAAAGTTGAGGGATATCTTAGATCTTCCATGTAGGGGTGCTTGGGTGGCTCAGTTGGTTAAGCGTCTGACTCTTGACTTTGGCTCAGTCATGATCTCACAGTTTGTGAGATCGAGCCCTGCGTTGGGCTCTGTGCTGACAGCTCTCTCTCTCTCACTCTCAAAATAAATAAATAAACTTAAAGAAATCATCACTTTAAAAATGCTCTGTCCGCCAGGCACGTAGGTCTTTCAGGTAGGGTTTCTCCATGTATAGTCTCTCACCATCAGTATCAGAATCAACAGAGAAAATACAGGAATGGCCCACGAGCACATGAAAACAGACTCCACATCCATCATCAAGAAAATGCAAATACAATTATGGGCTTGTGGTGTCAGTGCTATGCACCTGAAACTAACGTAACATTGTCAACTACATGTCAATGGGAAAAAGTACAGAGGGAAACCACACAGAGAGCAGCACACACCCACTAGAAGGGCTGAAAAACATCAGTGTCAGTGAAGACGTGGAGCTGCAGGAACGCCTGTATTTGAGGGACAGGGGGTTCTAAAATGGTACAGCTACACTGGAGAACAATGTTCCAGTTTCTTACAAATTCGACATAACCTCGGTTAAGAGTCCGACCCTTGATTTCGGCTTGGGTCATGAGCTCACAGTTCATGCGTTTGAGCCCCACGTCGGGCTCTGCGCTGGCAGCACAGAGCCTGCTCGGGATTCTCTCTCTGCCCCTCTCCCGCTCACGTGCACTCTCTCCTTCTCTCTCTCTCAAAATAAATATTTAAAAAAATAAGAAGTTCAGCGTATCCTGCCCATACAAACTTCCTCTCAGGTCCCAAGAGAAATGAAAACCTACATCCCAACACTGGTATTCCAACGTTCCCGGCAGCTGTATGCACAACAGCCAGACTCTGGAGACAGCCATGCAGGGTGTCACCAACTCGAGCGCAGATAAAGTGAGAGACAGCCCTGCACGGACAGGTGCAGCACCACGAGCAAGTGATTGAAACCGATCACAAGAGTACACGCTATACGATTCTCTTCTTACGAGAGTTCCTAGAACCAGCTGAAGCTTCCTGCAGACTGAACAGACTTGCCTGGGGCTGGAGGTCAGAGAGGATCGGCGGCAAAGGGACACGAGAGAACTTTCTGGGGCCTGTGGAATGTGTCTTGGCCGGCAGTGGTCACATGGGTACCTACATCTGTTTGAAAGTGCTCCTGAGAGAAGTGCATTTTCTTTCGGGCAAACTCCCATCTCCATAAAGTTGACTTAAAACACATTTACACAACTTTTTTCCCTGCCCCGGTGGTGAGACGGGCTCTTTCAGACAAGGTTTCTCAAAATGTGGTCTCTGGACCTTGTGCATCAGCCTCACCAGGAAGTCTGACTCGCTGAGTCAGAATCTCAGGACTGGACCGGGGAGGAGTCGTGTGCACCTGCCTCGCCTCAGGGGCCGGTTGTCACAGCTCGGGGACACAAGCCAAGGCTGGATTTCACACGAGAGCGCTGGGGGTCCCTGGCGGGAAGAGAGACGTGAGAAATTAACCAAGAGGAATTCTGTGCCGACCGACCGGTCGTGTAACCTTCCTGCTTCTGTTCTGGAGGAAGGGAAAGGCAGCTCCAAAGGCCAAGCCGGAACTTGTGACAAGGGCCCCCAGCGAAGGAAGGCTGTGAGAAGGGGTGGCCACAGGACTCCCTTCCGAAGCCCCCGCTCTCCAGCCAGGCTGCGCCTTGGAATCTTGTGGACCTTTTTTTAAAAAGTCTAATTCCTCTCTCTCTTTTTTTTTTTTAGTTTATTTATTAAGAGAAAAAGAGTGCAGGGGAGGGTCAGAGAGACAGGCAGAGGGAGAATCCCAAGCAGGCTCCACGCTGTCAGCACAGAGTCCGATGTGGGGCCAGAATCCACGAACTGTGAGATCATGACCCGCTTAACTGACTGAGCCACTCAGGCGCCCCATCTAATTCCTCTTTTAATCACAGTAGTACATAAATACAGGCCCTTAAAAAAAATGTGAATATGGCTTTAGTAATACTAAAGTCGGCATGTTTAAAAAAAGAGACTGGTCCTTCTGTAAACTTCTTCCTGCTTCTTGGAGACACAGACGAGCTTTTTACTCTTAAGTGTGCAGCCTCATGAATATTTACATGCATGCCCCCCCCCCTCCCCGCAACGCCCGCCCAGACCAGGACCCTGACCATTTCCAGCACTCTAGAATGTTCCTGGCGCCCCTGCTCTGTTCCTACTTCCCCAGATAACCACTATTTTGACTTCTGCCACCACTGATAAGTTTTAAGGCAACCACTTTAAATTACTTTTGTATGGGGCACCCGGGTGGCTCAGTCACACTTCACGTCAGACTTCAGCTCAGGTCATGATCTCAGGGTTTGTTTGTTTTTTTAATGTTTTGCTTTTTTTTTTTTAAATTTCTGAGAGAGAGAAACAGCGTGAGCAGGGGAGGGTCAGAGAGAGGGGGAGATACAGAACCTGAAACAGGCTCCAGGCTCTGAGCTGGAGCACAGAGCCCGACTCGGGGCTCAAACCCACCAGACTGTGAGATCATGACCTGAGCCGAAGCCGAACACTTAACTGACTGAGCCACCCAGGCGCCCCTGATCTGCCTACTTCGGACAGGAACTTGCAGCTGCTTAGGAGGCTAGATCCCAAGTTCACTCTTCTTCCCCTTCATCACCAAGAGAAGCTAAAATACTTTCCAATTTCCAGGCCCCGCCACCAAACCGCCATACCCCTGGGCACCTGTAAGCCTGTGTCAGCGGTGAGCCGGGCGCCTGACACCACGGACTCAGGACCTTTGCAGAGAAGGGCTCCGCCTGTTAACACGGAACCTGTGACCAAGCTGCGTGTCCCACTGTAGCTGGAGCAAGCAAGCCACGAGAAAGCCCAGTGTTTCTCAGACTTCGTTTACTGCCTCTCAGTTGCCCCCTTGGGACTCTGCCCCTTTCTGCCCGGCGCCCCATCCGCGTCGCACCAACAGGTGATCTGAACAGACCCTCAGAGGTTTCTGTTCGCCAGGAGCCTGAATGCACGCCCGCCTCCGGAGAGGAAGGTCGGTCTGCACGGGGCGGTGGTGCCGAATGCTCAGCGCCAAGATGCGATGAAGGCACAGCCTCCTGTCACTGGGAGAGAGGTCTGTGTGGCCGAGACACGACCCACCCTGCGGCCACTCCCTCGGGCCCCAGCTGAGACCTCTTCAGGCCCGTGTCCTCACCGCCTGGCTCCCTGTCTCAGCGGGTCCCTGTGCCGTGCCGCCCCCTTGGCTTCTCCAGCCCGGACGCCACAGACCTCACCCCTGCCAGCCTCTGCCGGCTAGGAAACCTCTTCCCTCCCCCGGGGGCGCCCACTTCTCACGTGCTGTCCTCCAGACAGGGCTGGTCGGACGCGGCCGCCGCTTACGGGGACCGCACTTCGGCGGTGCTGTTACCGCCGCCAAGGCCCAGCGCCGCAGCACCCGGGAGGCTCGCTCTGTGCGCTCAGGTGAGAGCGCACGGCAGCACCTGGAAGCCTGAGGCCCCTCCTGGTCCCGAAGGCTGCAAGGGCGTGCACGTGTGACCAGACAGGTGCAGGGACAGGGTGCGGAACGCCATTTTAATGAGGGAGAAACCCAGGCTCAAAAGTGCTCAGAAACCATCCCAAGGTAACCCAACGAATCCACTTCGGAGGCTGGAGGCTAAAATACACACTCTGTCCAGGGCCCCAGAAAACCTCCGTTCCCCTGGACGTGATCTGCTCGCACCAGAAGTCCAGTCCCGGCTTCGCTCAGAGAGGGCCCCTCAGCGCCAAGCAGGGACACCCCGAAGCCTGGGTCCAGGGAGGGGAGTGGCTACCCCAGCCGGCCACCTGGCCTCCGCTTGGGGCCGCACGCCCCCGAAGTCCCCGGACGGGCAGAACCCCAATCACTCGGTCCGCTTGGCGCAGACCCAGGGTCTTGGAGAGGCACAGTCCCAAGCCACAACCTTGCCTTCCTCCAGGCCCCCGCACTTGAGGCCGGGCTGGTCCTCATCTTCCTCCGGGAGTCTGGGGATGGGGAGAAGAGGGGACGGGGCTCAGGGTGACGGGCTCTGCCAGCCTGTGCGCCCGATGCCAGTGCCGGCGTGGGTCCTGCTTGACCACTGCTCAGAGCCAGGAGAGTCTGCAAAGGGCTCTGGCGTCGGAGTCATGAGGATGCCCCACAGCTTGGGAGAACCACCCACCCTCCTGTGGGCGGGCCCCTCATCTACCGAACAGGGGGACGGACAGTCCGGCTCCGGCGAGCTCTGGGAGCCCAATAAGGGATGGGGTGACTGGGACTAAATGAAACCAGGCCCTGAGCGGGGCAGTGGGGGAGGGGTGTCTCCCAAGAGGTACCCCCAGGCTGGTGGTGGAGCAGGGGCTGAAACCCGGAACGAAGGAGGCTCCAGTGGGGGAAGATGTCAGCGGAGGGGAAGGCCCGTGACCCCTCGTTGGTGCCTGCTGTGATGTCATCCCGGTCATACTGGGGACAGAGGAGCCACCCACCCAGGCCCGTGGTCACTCACAGCTGGGGCGGTAGTGGGGCCCCGTCGATCCAGTGCCAGCCCTGGGGGCCTCGCCGGGCCCCCAGCCAGGAGTGTTTGGTGAGCGGATATCTGCTCAGGAAGTCCTGAAGGAGAAAAGCAGCCGGTCACCCTTCTTCCGACACTAGACACCGGTACGGCTGCCCGGGGGGATTCTGCGCCCCACGCTGCCCCACCTCCCGCAAATTCCCAACTCACCCAGCCAGAGACCAGACTCGGCTCAACCCGGCTCTCCCGAAACACCAGCAAGTGGAAAGCTGTATCGGGCCCTGGCTGGTTGCCAGACACTGTGTTCAAGACTGGGGACCAGAAATGTTTCCATGGATATGAGCGGCCAGACAAGGGGGAGAAAGCCGGGAGGCTACAGAGCACATCCAGGCAGCAGACGGCCTGACCGGGCGGGAGGCGGCCTGGGAGCAGATGGTCAGCAAGGGCGCACCTGTCGGCGACAGCGTAAGGGACCCTGCAGCAGCGCAGCACCATATCACAGCCACTTACAAAAAGAAGACAAGTACGAAGGCCACCGAGCAGTATGGGGAAAGCTCTCCTACGTGAGGGGCTACTGCACGCTCGAAGGCGGACTCCGCCGGGGCAGGATCGGGTCCTGAACTCGGTGTGTGCACCAGCGCAGACACAGGCAGCACCAAAAACCCAGAGTGCATTGGAGAGCTATCAGAGGTGATTTTTCTCTTTCTTTTCAATATTTGTCCTTGAGGTCACATTGTTTTTGGCAACGGAATGAATGAAAAAAATGTGCTTGAAAAGTTTTAACTTGGACAATGAGGGTCCAGCTCTGTAAGTCCCGGTGTGGGGCAGCGACGCTGGTGCATCTTCCAGAACATACCTCAGTACCACCTGACGGGAGCAGCGACATCCTTCCTACCACTTGGGTGAGTGATTCCACTTTGGAGAATAAATCCAAGGCCATAAAGGGGGAGAAAATGAACTTCCCCAAAGATAGCACAGTGTTATGTTTAAAGAAAAAATGGAAACCACCCAATGCTCAGCAATCAGGAAACAGCATAAGCAGGCATGTTATGGGACAGCAACCCCATGGAAAATTACAATGCCATTAAAGATGACAAGTACGCAGAAAATGTAATGCAAGAAAATGTAAATAGAACAGGTAGAGCAGACCGACCACACCAGCAAGGACGCATTGCTCACAACACCCACAAGCATATATCCATTAGTGAAAATTAGAAGTGGACTCTTAGGAGTCTGATGCATGTGCAGCTTTTCCCTAGAAAACTGAGAAAGCCAAAACCTCTACACTTGCCCCTGGTTATTAGAAAGTAAGCACTAGGGCCATGACCGTCCCCTGTTTGTCCATCAGGTCTGTTTAAAGGTCATTTCCTGTAGGGACACGGTGCTGACTGTTCTCTCCTCTCCCACCCCCCACCCCCCCGTAAGGTGGGCTCCCTCCCCTGTGCTGTGACCATAATTTGGAGCTTGATGCCCAGAACTAAATAGCTTGTCAGTTTCCAACATTGGGCAGGGACCGTGGTGAGGACCGGGGGCCTGTCTGATTCACACCGGCCCTGAGAACCCAGCACACAGTAAGCCAGCTCAACAGAACTGGCTCCCTGTGCTCCCTGCCAGTATACCCAGCAAGGACCACAGCTCACGCACGTGCCATCAGGCCACCCATGGGCCCAGAGGCGCCAGCACAGACCCAGCTCCTCTCAAGGAAGCGCCACCAGTCAGCAGCTGAGAGAAGCCAGAAACAGCTTTCTGGCTGAGGGCTGCTAACCTGACCCCTTCTGAAACCTTAAAGGTCAGACTGCATATGAAAGAGGAGAGTTGGCGATGACAGGCCACACCTTGGCTGGACCGCAGGCCGGGAGCTTTGGAGAGGATGAGGAGGAGCCTGGAGCCAGCTCTGAGGGGAGTCGGAGGACAGAACAGCCCAAAGCATCTCAACAGTGGCTGCAGCAGACCCAGGACCCCTTCTGGCCAGCACCCCCTCCTGGAGGACACACCAGGGCCAGGAGCTTCTCCCGGGGCCCAGAGGCCACTATCACTGTGGAGAGCAGAGTTTTGGGACCGGGACACCCCACATTCAAATTCTGGTTCTGTGACTTTAGGCAAGTTCCCAACCTTTCAGAGCTTCAGTATGGTCCTCTAAAATGGGGGGGGGGATTTGTGGGGTTTTAAAAAAATTATTATTAAGTTTGTTTATTTTCAAAGAGAGAGAATCCCAAGCAGGCTCTGAGATGTCAGCACAGAGCCCGACACGGGACTCAACCTCACAAACCCTGAGATCATGACCTGAGCTGAAATCAGGAGTTGGATATGGGGTGCCCGAGTGGCTCAGTCGGTTGAGCATCTGACTTAGGCTCAGGTGATGATCTTACTGCTTGTGAGTTCGGGCCCCCTGTCGGGCTCTTTGCTGACAGCTCCAAGCCTGAAGCTGGCTTCAGATTTTGTGTCTCCCTCTCTCTCTGCCACTCCCCTGCTTGCCCTCTGTCTCTCTCCAGTATAAATAAAGATTAAAAAAATAATATTGGAAAAAAAAGAAAGAGTTGGACGCTTACCTGACTGAGCCACCAGGGCCCCCCAAAACTGAGGAGACATTTGTAATGAGGCCTGTGATAATACGTATAAAGCCAAGGTCAGGTCGTATGTACTCACTAAATGAGAAATCTCCAGTCTGTGCAGGGTGGTGTGCAAACATAGTCCCCAACACAGGTGACCTCAACTGATGTCTCCAGCGTTGCCACGAGGCTCCTGCCCTTCGTCCAGGCCTGGCCCCAGCCCGCCCGGCCCTCCCCAACTTCAGTCCCCGGGGCCTCCCATGACAGGAAGCAGGGCCCACCCCTGCCCAGGCACCCCTTTCCATCCTTCTTTCCTTGCAGCTCTGACTACATTGCTGTCACCACTAGCAAAAATTATGGCATGGGAAAAGTAACATCCATGGATTAAGTTCCAGAAACTTCTGAGTCATTTACGGTCCAAAGAACTTCTGTGTATGATGCCACCGAAATCCCGGGGCCTCCACGGTCTTCAGCTGGTGCTTCTCCAACTTTGCCACCGATGCGGGGACATGTGGGAATATGACCCTGAGCAGAATTTCCTTGAAATCCGGTATTTTCCATCTTAGAAGTGAGCTAAGTTATCCGCTGTGCCTTCAAACATTTCTTTTTTAAAAACTGTGGATAAAATACGTATCATGAAATTTGGCTTTTTCACCATTTTTAAGTGTACAGGTTGCTGGCATCATGTGCATTCACACCGCTGTGCAGCCATCATCCATCCCCAGAGCCTTTTCCTCTCTCTGCACGCAAACTCCAGCCCATTAAACGCCCTCCTTCCCCGCCCCCCGCCGGCAGGCACCACTCTCCCTTCTGCCTTCACACATCTCTGCTTTACTATTCAGGTGCTCCCATTAGTTAGTCTTCGTAATCCTATGATGGAAATTTCTTCATGTTTTTTTTCACCTTTCTGTGGTCGAGTGTGGCTCCTTGCTCCCTCCGCCCTACAGAACACAGCCATTCTCGAACTTTCTCCTTGTCTCTAAGCCCAGCTCTTGGGGAGGCCGAGACCCGCTGGTCCAAGGGCTGTGCGTGTTACTGGCACCTTGGAATGTCCCTGGGCATGTGTGTCCAGCTCCTGGAGCCTGGCCTTTGCCAGCTCCCTCTGCCAGCCTGTCCTCAGCCGCTCCTCCTCGCCCGGTGCCTCCTGGAATTTCTGGCCGTCATGCAGCGCTCCACAGTCATCACATTCCAGACGTGAAATCTTCACCTTCGTCTTTTTGCAAGGAGTTTACCCAGACTTTATGGTATGTTTTCTGTACACTTATGTTTCAAATAATTGATCCTGTATGCTTAGTTTTAAAAGAACTCTTGGGGCGCCTGGGTGGCTCCATCAGTTGAGCGTCCAGCTTGAGCTCAGATCATGATCTTGCGGTCCAGGAGTTTGAGCCTCATGTCCGGCTCTGTGCTGGCAGCTCAGAGCTGGGACTGCTTCAGATTCTGTGTCTCCCTCTCTTTCTGCCCCTCCCCCACTCACGCTCTGTCTCTGTCTCTCAAAAATAAATAAATGTTAAAAAAAACATCTTTTAAAATTCTTTATCTGAAGCTTGAAATTTGGTTAAGCCCATCTCCCCCTTGGAGGACCCACCAGCCACAGGGAAGTTTTTGCTCAGAGGGCTAAGGTCATTCTCCACTGAACCTGTCTGCTTAGAGGCTGGAGGGCAGGGACAAGTCTTTCGGAGGAGACTTGCTGTGCTCAGTGGGTCACTGCCCAGCTCGGTCCCCTCCCCAGCTCCAGTCACTCTCTAGGGACCGACCTCCATTCCCACTGGCCTCCATTTTGCAGACGCAACTAGGGGCCTGAGAATGTTCTTATTTGACAAACATAAGAAGAACTCAGGGCCTGACGCAGGCGCCCGACAAAAACCCTTATACACCGACGTCCTGCTTAATGGGCTACTGTCCCACTAGCATTTCCTCCTAATTATGTAGCACACATTATTTGCAGAACATTTAGAAAATTAGAAAAATTAAAACTTTAAAGAAGGAGAAAAAAATCACTCGCAGTCTTCAGTGGTATCCACGATTAGGATATTACTATACATACTTCCTTTCTGTTTTTTCTTTGTATATTTATTGTTACTATATTGAGATCACAGATTTCATGGTTTTCAATCTACATTGTATCTTTTTCATTTCTCCATGTCTTCTGAAACCTAAGTTATTCCTGGCAATGAAATAACTCCTGTTCACTGTAAACCATTTTCTCCAGCATGGTCTTCTCTCCACCTTCAGGGACCTCTCCCAGAGAGAAAGGAGGCAGGAGCCACCTTCCCTGTTGTGAGGCACAGAACAGCTTTGTGTCAAGACTGGGCAGGAACAGTGCAAGAAAACAAATTCATGGATGTGAAATCTTAAGTAATATTTTAACAAGTCAGATCCAGAAGTATTTGGGGCAGAAGAAAATCACGGCTAAGCAAACTATCACAAGAGGCCTAGAATAGTAAAAAAAAAAAAAAAAAAAAAAAAAAAAAAAANAAAAAAAAGGCGGGGGGGGGTGTGCCTGGGTGGCTTAGTTGGTTAACCGTCTGACTTCGGCTCAGGTTATGATCTTGCGGTTCGTGGGTTCGAGCCCTGCATCGGGCTCTGTGCTGACACCTAGCTCAGAGCCTGGAGCCTGTTTCAGTTTCTGCGTCTCCCTCTCTCTCTGCAGCCCCCCACTCCAGTTTTGTCTCTCTCTGTCTCAAAAATAAACTATAAAAAATTTTTTTTAAAAGAAAAAGGGGGGGGTGTAGGGAGGGAGAGGGTACCTGGGTGGCTCAGTCAGTTGAGCACCTGAGCCTTGATCTTGGCTCAGGTCATGATCTCAGCTCAGGTCACGATCTCACGGTTTGTGGGTTTGAGCCCATGTCAGGCTCTGTATTGACAGTGCAGAGCCTGCTTGGGATTCTCACTCTCTCAAATAAATATTTAAAAAGAAATAAAGAAGTAAAACAGACCACTGTAATTCACCACAGAGATTAAAGAGGAAACAAAGGTATCATTTTGATATACACACAACAAAGCAACCCATGAAATTAAACTCATTCATGTTGAAACCTCTTCAAAAAATAGGAATAAAAAGGAACTTCCTTAAATGCTAACATTTAAGGAAGGGGCTGTTCTCATCATGGACTCTCGGTGACAAACACAGTTAGGTGATCAATAAATATGTTATCAAATCGCTGACCGGAGGAAAGCTCACTGTGAAGGGCTTGGCCACGGGCAGGCTGGGAACATGCCCCACACATGCTCCCGGCTCTACTGCTGCGTCTTGGAATCAAGAGTAATTGAAGACCTTGGGAGCCCTGATGTCTGGTCCTCCCTCATGTCACTTTATTTCCTCAGGCCTAGGTGACTTTTTCTGCAATGCAGAGTTGGACTAGATCTTTGAGATTCCTTCTGGCGCTAGGAATGGGTGATCTGCAACGCTGTGTTCATCCCTGACCGCCCGCCTCCTTCTCACCTGGGTGTGGTCCGGCAGGGGGAGGGTGGCGCGGTGAGCCAAGCAGAAGGCCTGGCTGGCCTCCCAGGCCCGAGCCTCGGCAGAGACGTAGTAGCAATGCTCCTCACGCCACATCCAGCCCGGCGGGCACGGCCGGCACGTGGCGCCTGCAAGCAAGCACAGAGACCACTGTCAAGAGCTGAACGGATGCGCAGTAAAAAAAAAAAAAAAATCAAAATCTGGCCATGGCCTTGACGGAAGGGACAAATCTGGAGCATGGAAGAGGTAAGCCTTGGGCCGGGCAAGCAGGGTGGGCAAGGACCTGGGCAGGCGGTAGAGTCTGCGCAACGCCCCAAACTGCCCAAGGTGGGGGCTGTCCACCCACTGCTCATCAGAGCACAGGCTGTGTCCAGCGGGAGGAAGGTGCTCCCTTCCCTCTCTGTGCTCAACAAGCCAGATGTCTTCACGCTGCCTCTGCCCGGGGGGTGGCGAGGGGGGTGTTTTTTTCGGATTCTCACAAAGCTGCTGTAAGGACTAGACACCCTGGTGGTGGCCAGAGGGCGAGGGGGGACCAGGAGGCGGCACCATACCTGTTCTAGAAGCCAGGGCCACAATGGCGACCGCGGACACCGCCAGAAACACAGCCATGACCGCTAGGGCCCAGCGCAGGGACTTCATGTACAGAGGCAGCCCTGGGGGAGGGGATGGCCGGGAGAGACAGGTCAGAACCCAAGTCAGAACCGCACAGCCTCGCACGCCAGCATCACGCCCGCCCTCGCACCCCACCCCCTTGGCCCAAGACACCACAGAAACCCACTCAGTTTAGGTTAGAAAATTAATACTGGGGAGAAAAACACTAGAAGATATTCTGCTGCTTTAAAAAATAGAAGATGTGAGAGTCCATTCAAGAAGGAGAACAGACGGTTGGCTGACAACCATTTGCTGAGCACACGCAGTGCATGAGACACCAGGTACAAACACCACGAGGAACAGGGCAGGACCCCCACACTCACGGGGCCCAAGGACCCAGCAGATAAAGCTCCAAACAGGGGAGGGATGGGGGTTCGGTTTAAGCATCGACAGACCTGGGTTCCAGTCTCGGCTCCGTGGGTCCCCCAAGAGTTTCTGGTTCTCCCCCCCCGCCCCATCTCTCCAGGCCACAGGAGGCCACTGGTGAAGCACTGTGCTTCCGGGAACAGATGCGAGCTGTCAGCAGCTCACGGGCCCAGGGGACCAGGTAGCTGGAATGAGGCCGCGGAGGGGAAAGGGGCTCCAGAGACAGGCAGGAGGAAGAGAGAGAACATATTCGAATCGTCCCGCCCTGGTGACAGAGGAACCAGGGAGGCCAGAGCGGAAACGTGGGGAATAAAACACAGTAAATGGTTCATTGTGGCCACTGACAGCTCACAGCAGCTTTCCACCCAGAAATATCTAAACTAACTGAGCACCCCTGGGGCGCCTGGGTGGCTCAGTCGGTTAAGCGTCTGACTTCGGCTCAGGTAGCGATCTCAAGGTTCGTGAGTTCAAGCCCCGCACCGCGTTCTGTGCGGACAGTGTGGAGCCTACTTAGGATTCTCTCTCTCCCCTTCTCTCTCTTCCCCTCCCCCACCCTCAAAATAAACAAACTTAAAAATAAATAAATGAGTAACTGAGCACTCCTGAATCTGCTCCCTGCCAGGACACAGAAGCATGAAATCAATTAACACAAAAAGAGGCCTCTCCTCTCCCAGACACTTCTCGGGGACGAGGGCTTCGAATGCTACATATTCAGCGTAAGGGTCTCAAGAGCTCAGCCACCATATTTGCCAAAGCCTGAAAGAGCAGAGGTAGTTCTCCAGCAAATTTCCTATTTTGAAAAGACTAACGCCATTTTTAAAACCACATGCACAGTAGGATACACCGCCCTCTGAATACACATTCGTGTGTATGGTACACACAACACATACACAGCATTGGGGCACATTTCCAAGGTTTTTAATAAAACATGTTTTCAATCATAATTCAACTTTAAAAGTAAAGGCACTTTTGAAATCCTCAAGTTCCCTTTTCTGTTAGGAAAAACACTTGCTTCAAAGACTGAAAAGGGATGCGTGTTACTCTGATCTATGAAGAGTCACATTCCATCTATGACCTTTTTGGAATTTGTTCCCCCCACCTTTTTTTTTTTTTAATATTTAACCTGCTTCTTAAAGGGATGTGACCCAAATTTTCATCAACTGATAAATGGATAAACAAACTGTAGCACATCCTTACAAGCGCAATATTCAGCCATGAAAAGGTATGAAGTGCTGGTACAGGCTGCAATTTGACCAAGCACCCAACAGTTTATGCAAAGTGAAAGAAGCTAGTTGCAAAAGGGCACATATTATGAGTCCATTTATGAAATGTCCAGAATAGGCAAACCCACAGGGACACAAAGTAGCTTAGTGGTTGCTTGGGGGCGGGGTGTGTGTGTGTGTGTGGGGGGGGTGATGGCTAAAAGATACTGTGTTTCTTTTTAGGGGGTTGAAAATATTCTTTTTCTTGGTAAGGTTATTTATTTATTTTGAGAGAGGGACAGAGAAAGCAAGCAAGCAGGGGAGGGGCAGAAAGAGAGAGAGAGAGAATCCCACGCAGGCTCTGTACTGCCAGTGGGAGCCAGATGCGGGGCTCGAGCTCACCAAGAGCGAGACCATGACCTAACCCAAAATCAAGAGTCGGATGCTTACCCAACTGAGCCACCCAGGCGCCCAGAAAATATTCTAAAGCCAAGTGTAGTGATGGTTGTACACCTCTGTGAATATACTAAGACCACTGGATTGTACACTTGACATGGGTGGATTGTATGATATATGTTACCAAAAAACGTGATTTGAAAATGCTTGGAATAAAAGATACATATGTATTGACAGTTTTAAAAGCAGAACTGAAAAACCTGGAGAAAAAAAGGAAAACAAATCTACCAATCACCCCGGTCAACGTAACTACCGACCTTTCAGAAAAGAAATACAGCGGGTTACATAGTCTCACACACCTTCCACTCAGGACTGCACGGCTGACCTTGGGAATGAAGGGGCCTCCCAAATTTCCAGGCAGAAGTCCCACCTACCCCCCTTTCAAAAGCAATTCTTATTTTTTTTTTTTTAAGTTTATTTATTTGAGAGAGAGAGAGAGAGAAGGGCAGAGAGACAGTGAGAGAGAATCCCAAGCAGGTTCCACACTGTCAGTGTTTAGCCAAAGAGGAGCTCAAGGCAGGGCTCGAACTCATGAACCACGAGACCATGACCTAAAGTGAAATCAAGAGCCCAACATTTATGGATGGAGTCACATAGGAGCCCCTCAAAAGCAATTCCTAATTACACAGGTAACACAAATACATTCTCCCTGTTAAAAAATGAAAATACAGATCAAGCGGGGCGCCTGGGTGGCTTAGTCGGTTAGGCGTCAGACTTTCGCTTGGGTCATGATCTCGCGGTTTGTGGGTTCGAGCCCCGCGTCGGGCTCTGTGCTGACTGCCAGCTCAGAGCCTGGAGCCTATTTCGGAGTCTGTGTATCCCTCTCTCTCTGACCCTCCCCTGCTCATGCTGTCTCTCTCTCTCTCCTAGAAATAAAAATATTTAAAAAAAAAAAAAAAAAAGAAAATACAGATCAAGCTAAAGTCCCCTCTTGCTAAAATTTTTTTTTAATGTTTATTTATTTTTGAGAGAGACAGAGCGTGGTGGGGGAGGGGAAGAAAGGGAGGGAGACACAGAATCTGAAGCAGGCTTAACCAACTGAGCCACCCAGGGGCCCTGCTAAAGTCCCCTCTAAGCCCAACTTCTCCCTATTTCCGATTCCAGACCTCGCTCAGGGTCTGCGAACCCACTGAGGCAATAACACACAGTCCTTCCCTCTGGCCCCATTCTCTAGCTTCTACCCAATTCCCTTTTCAAATCTTGGATGGACATCTCTCATGTTCCCTCTGTTTACTCTCTCACTTTGAGCCCCATCTTAACTTGCCATCTTTCCTACGCGCGACTGAAACACCGTCTGCTTCCTCTTAGTCAAATCCGATCACCAGGGGGTGGAATTAGGTTTTGTGGGGCTTAAAATTTATTCAACTTGCCCGTCCCTGATCGAACAGTCTCTCTGTCTCTAAGTATACATAAGCATTAAAAAAAAAATTTTTTTTAAAGGGGCTCCTGGGTGGCTTAGTGGGTTGAGCATCCGACTTTAGCTCAGGTCATGATCCCGCAGTTCATGGGTTCGAGCCCCATGTCAGGCTCTGCACTGACAGCTCAGAGCCTGGAGCCTGCTTCGGATTCTGTCTCTGTCTGTCTCACTCTGCTCCTTCTCTGCTCCCACACACTCTCTCTCTCTCAAATATAAACACTAAAAATTTTTTTAAAAATTTATTCAATTTAGTGGGTGAGGGAAGGGGTCTCAAAAAACATAATAGAAACCTCCAAATACACAGTTTGGCATAGGAGTCAGAGGGCTCCTGCCAGTGAGGCTCTGCTTTTGTGTCATTGCCTGCAGGCAAATCTATTACAGTTGCCCCAGCTCCTCCCGCTGGGGCTGACCGTGCTGGGCATCACCCTCTCTGGGCCCCACTTCCTCCACGCACCCAGCGCTGATGAGTACATTCTTCCTGCCCGTCCCACCAACATTATAACTCCCTCTGGAGTTCTCAGGCTGCTCCCCCCCATCTCCAAAAGACACCTTCTACCCCAGCTGCTGTTCCCACTCTCAGCTCCAGAGTACCCCTGCCCACACGCCTCCTGGCTCCATCCCAGGCTGACCTGCACTTGAACTTCAGTCCTAGACTCTTATTAATCTGATAAAAAGCTACTGACTTTAAAAGACTCATTGTGGTAGATGGAATAATGTTCCCCCAAAGATGCCCACATCTTAAGCCCTGGAACCTGTGACTATGTTAGGTTACGTGGCAAAGGGGAATTAAGGTTCTGGATGGAATGAAGGTTGATCATCCATTGACTTTAAGATGAGGAGACTCTCCTGGCTTTTTTCTTTCTTCCTTTCTTGTAAAAAAAAATTTAATATTTTATTTATTTCTGAGCGAGTGAGAGTGAGAGCGAGAGAGAGAGAGAGCATGAGCAGGGAAGGGTCAAAGAGAGAGGGAGATACAGAATCCGAAACAGGCTCCAGGCTCTGAGCTGGCTGTCAGCACAGAGCCAGACACAGGGCTCGAACCCACAAACCGTGAGATCATGACCTGAGCTGAAGCCAGATGCTTAACCGACTGAGCCACCCAGGCGCCCCTCTCCTGGCTTTTCTAGGTAGGCACAACATAATCACCAGGGTCCTTGGAAACAGAAGAGGGAGGTGGAAGAGGAGAGTCGAGGGGGCCAGCGGCAGAAGGAATCAGACAGACACTGCCGGATTCTAAGGGGTATGAACTAAGGAGTTCTCCGTAGTAGTCTTCTAGCTACAGAAGGCAAGGAAACGGACTCTCTAGCGCCAGGAAGGAACATGGTGCTGCTGACACCCTGGCTTTAGACCAGCCAGCCGGCATCAGACTTCTGAACTACAAAACTGTAAGATAATAAGTTCATGTTGTTTCAAACCACTAAGTTTGTGGTAACTTGTTACAGCAGCGATAGGAAACACACCATCAGGCAGAAAATGTGCTCACACCAAACTCTGCAAAAAGCCGGGAGTGACGTGCGTCCCTGAACCCTACCCCTGACTGAGACACGACAGAGACCCTGGGGCTTAGAGGCCTGTCTAGCTGGCCTGGTCTTCCTCCCACCTGGCCAAGCTTTTGGCACTTTGCCTGCTGGGCAGGTGGCTACTCCCTCCTGGGGGCTGTTTCTGAGCTTTCCAGCTATAAGGGCGCCCGTGCCACCCCAAACCCTACTCGCCTTTCAGAGCTTAGCTCCAGGAAGCTTTCCCAATGGGCCCCCAGGGTTCAGCACCCACTCCCCCTCAGTTCCCTGTCCAGGGTTGTTTATATCTTTTCCAGGCTCCTTCTTCCCTGACAAGAGCCCCCACTCTTTTTTTTAAAAAAATTTCAATGTTTATTTTATTTTTGTGTGAGAGAAAGAGCACAACCAGGGGAGGAACAGAGAGAGAGGGAGT